ATTGCACTTCCCTTTAATTTAAAATCACACCTAAAGATGAAGGTTTTTTCAGGTGTTATTCTTCTTTGAAGGAGGAGAAAGGAAGTGACCAATAAGGCTGCTTTGAATAGCACTTTCTTTTCAAATACTGAGTTGTTTCTTCCAGCTTCTGATTCATGGACTGGTGTCTGTTCTTTCTGTTTCAAACACATCGGCTAGATAAGGCTATTCTTTACTTTCTCATTTTTATAAATTAGCCCCGTACTACTTATGGCGTCTATGCATACTTATGAACTTTTTTTTTTTTTTTTTTAATGTGCATGTCTGTATGCTGCTTATTTTAATTGGTTTTGATAGCTAAGAAAGTGGCAGCTAAATTGAATTCATTACCAAAGGGTAAAATTGCTGTTAATGTGACACCATCCATAGTTAATACTGAAAATAAGAGCACTTTGGTTTTGTAGGGCTATTGATTTCTTCTATTTAAAGTCCATATATATCTACTTCAACAACAGTTGACTCTACTTTTTAACCCTTGGGGGTTCAAATTTTCACAACCTCAAAGTAGATTTTAAGGTACACTTGTATCTTCAGGATTGGATACGCTTGCAGATTGAAAAATCCCACTTAGTATAAACTAAAATGTATTGATGGTTTTTGCAGCTATAGAACTTCCTTTCATGCGAAAATAAAAAGCATTTTCAGTTAATTTAGTCTCCTTACATTGCCATGAAAGAGATGGCTCTTGTCTGCATATGACAGATGAAAAAACCTGGGCACTGAAAGGGTATAGCTGGCTTCTTCATAGAAATAGTCACTGAAGTTAAGCGTTGGGCTGAAATGCTGAGCATTGCACAGGCATATTAATACCCCCCTTGGTTCTTCGGAGCGCTGTAAGCACTCAACATCCTTGAAAAGGAAGGTATCAAGATTTAAAAAAGGAAGCACTTACATATGACTGGCAACATCTGAAAAATCTCTGATTTAGTGATTTTTAAAATGACACCAGAAGGTGGTAGAACCATGGAAGTCCCACAAATGCATTTAGAAGTATCCTCCTTCATTTGCCTAGCCAGATACTCTCTGTGTAGTTGAAGGGGGGAAAAAAATCCAGACTGGATGACTGGAAAATTAGAAAATCTGTGAAATCACAGCATGAGCTTGACATAAAGGTGAAAGTATTGAAGCGCTTTGGAAATCAGATGCTAGCAGATTGAGGAGGACATCCAGAACCTGACAGCTGGTTTTTAACCAAAATCAGACAAGGCAAAAATGTACCTCACGGAAACTGTTCAAATGTAGCGTTCAGAAACTGCCTGCCAGTCCTGCCGTGGTGGCAGCAGGACTTTGGGAGAAGAATACAGTGATGGAACAGCATGGCAGGTGATCCTGATAACCAAAATTTTGAAAGTCTCCATATAGACCCAGTGGGGTGTGTGTCTGCATCCATATACATGTTTATAAGGGTAAAGGATATATATGGCTATAAATGGATTTCCATAGATGTACATACACACGTATATAGGTGTACAACAGCCTGACAGAATAGGTTTCATGGTTCCCAGCTTCTTTGCCCCTCCTAGGCCCTATTGAGTGGGGTGCTTCAGTTTAACTGTTTCAGTCCCACAAGTCCAAGCAATTAGTTGAAGCGAGGGGCTGCTTTCCGATACGCTGACCTCCCACGAAAGAGGAAAGGGCTCAATCCCAGCCCGAAAGCAAAGGACGAAATATTTCGGTACAGCGTGACTCCACTGCAATTTAGGCTGCAGAAAACGCGTTCTGCTGGGAGAGCTTCTTTAGAGTCAGAGATGCTCCTTATTTGAATAAACCCCAGCAGTATATTTGAATAAAGCCCAACAAAACATGATAATCTGTAACCCTTCAAAGACCTGCATTTTCTTTCAACATTCTTTCTGTGGTTTGGAGGTTATTTTAGTAGATCTACAAACCTAACATGCTCCTTTCTGTTTCATCAGACTCTGCCGTTTCTGCAGCGTTATCTCTGAGATAACATCGAAAAGATTGCGGGACCCATTCAGAAATCTCCGGTCCCACACACGACCGAAACATCCCGCAGCTTCGTGCACCGGTGGTCCCCGGTCAGAGCCGGGGGGGGGGGGTCGGGGCAGGGCGCAGGGATGGAGCCGGTTTGCAGGGGGGTCGGGACGGGGAGGTGGGGGGGGGGGGATGTCGCAATCCCCCGGCTGCCTCCCCAGCGCCAAAGGAGGGGAGATTTGCAGACCGAGGGAATGACAAATACCGGGTCCCCAGAATTTGGCTGGTGACTACGGTGGTGACTTTAATTTGCGGGGTGCGTGTGTGCGAATATTACAGCTCTTCCCAGACCATCCGGAGCGAATGAACAAGCCCCCCGAGTTACAGGCGGTTCCCCCAAACCCTCGCACGGCCGCAGCGCTGCGGGAAGCCTTGAGCTCCGGGGGTCCCGGGGGGGGCAGCCCCGGCCCCCGCCTCCCCTGCCGGGCGCCCGCCTGGGCGGGAGCTGCGGGGTCCGGGCTGCTGAGCTGGGAATAACCCCGAGTCTGGAAAGAGCTGGATGGAGCTTTCGTTCGTTAGGGAGAGCCTCACGCCAGGCGTATTTCGAACCAAACTGGGAAGCTCTTCCTTTCCCAGGGCGGCCACGGTTTTCTTTACCACCCCCCCACCTCACACACCTCCCCCCCCCTCCGAGACAGGACCGTCCGCAGGAAACCTGAGCAACATCGAAAGCTTTTCTACCTTTCTCTGTTAAACGGGAGGTTAGCCGAGATTTGGAGGGGAAAAAACAAAACAAAACAAAACAAAACAAAACAAAAATAAAACAAAAATAAAACAAAGCAAATTAAACAAAAATACCCCCAACAACAACAAAAAAGGGCAGCGGCCTTGAACTAAGCAGCACCTGTCCTGCGGGGATGTTTTAAATCACGGGACCCTTTCAGTCTGTGATATCGTAAAATTCAGTCCCTTGAATCCCACGGGGCAGCTTTGCGAAATCTCCTTCCCTCTCTGCCCCAGCCCCGGGAAGGCCGAGCCCGAGGGCGCGGAGCCGCGGGTGGGGGCCGGCCCCGCCGGCCGCGGGAAGGGCTGCGGAGGCTCAGCCCGGCAAGGATGCTCCTCGCTTTGTTCGGCGTCCCGAGTGGGGCCGGGCCCGCCACCGCCCCACCCCCCCACCCACCCCCACCCCCCGCGGTGGGTGCCAGCTCCGCGGCCGCGGGCAGCCCGCGGAAGGGTGGCGGAGCTCCGCGGCCGCTCCGCTTCATGCCGCGGCGCCGGGCTTCTGCCCACCCCCCCACCCACCCCCCCCCATCCTCCCCGTTTTTGTCGTCTGCTTCGGTCGGACGAGATCAAGGCAAAAACGTGCCAAATGTTATCCCGGGGAGAACCCGGGATGTGCCGTACTTGGGGGGGGGGCGGGGTATTTCAGTACCGGCTGCGCTCAGCTCCCGCTTGCGCGGCCGGAGGTGGGCACAGCAGGAACGGGTTCCCCCCGGGTCTCGGCTCCGGTCGGGGGTTTGGGGGTGAGCCCCGCCTGACCTCCGAGCCGCCGGTGCCCGTCCCCGCCTCGGCGGGCACCGCCACCCTCCTCCCGGGCGCCCGATTTGCGCCAGAGCCGCATCCCGGCGGGCTCCGCCTGCGCCTCCCCCTCGGGCTTCGGCGGTCCCCGCCGATTGTTCGCGATTTATTTCTGTTGCCCCGATGCGGCACGGCCCGGGGGGGAGCGGGGGGGTGTGGGTGGGTGTGTGCCCAGCTCGTCCGCTCCTAGCCCGGACGCTTCCCCGCTCCCGGCCGGTCCTTCCGTCAGGCAACGAAATCCCCGCCGACCGGCGGGTCTGGCTCAAAATTCAGGCGTGAGGAGGAGGCAGATTTTTGCAGCCCTCCCTGCGAGCTGGCTGGCGGCGAGCGGAGGGCGAGGGGCTGCGGATTTGTAGCTGCAAATCGTTCACGCAGGCTCTGCCCGCTCCGCAAAAACACGCGGGCATCTTCGCCTTCCCGAGTGCTGTTCCCGTACCCTTTGGAGCAAAAGTCTCTGAATTTAATTTTTTTTTTTTTTTTGCTGCGCCGAGAGAAAGAGCCAAACAGATCTGGCACCCGCCGGAGTAATAAACCTGCCTGCCCGGTGGGAGATGCTGAAAGGGGGGGACGCGGGTTGCGAGAAACCGATCGCCGAGTTCCTGAAATGGGGAACTGCGAACCCGCCTCCCGCAGCGACGTCCCCGAGAAGGTGAAACGTGTCACCCCCACGATAACGATGCTGCCCGGGGAGCGGAGAGGCGGGGAAGGCGGCTGCTGGGCTCAGCTGAGGCTCAAGCCGAATTGTTTGAACGGCGAGACGGCCAGCGGGGGGGTGGCGGGGGCCAATGTCACCCGCCCCGTCTCAGCGGCTGAGCGGATGGTCGCCCCCCCCCCCCCCCCCCCCAACTCCCTCCCTCCTCGCTGGGTGCCAGCGCTGGGACCGGCTCCCTCACCCGTTTTTCCTTTCGTCCCCATCCCTCGCTCCCCGCCACGGAGCCTCCCCTCCATGCCCGAGCGGCTGTCCGTTCGGGAGGACGGTACCGCCTCGGCAAAAGGTCTTTTTTTTTTTTTTTTTTGGGGGGGTGGGGAAGCCGGCCCCTTCCCTGCGGCCACGGCGGGGCGATGCGGGCGCTCCCCTCGCTCCGAGCGGCTGGGGGGGCAGGGGGTGGACCGGAGCCCCTCCGGTAGCCGGCTGCGGGAAGGGTTGCGGGGGGGAGCGGGGGGGCGGGGGGATTATACCAGAGTCACAGGTGACTTGTTCCAATTAGTAGCTGTCTAATTAAATTAGTGTCACGCGGCCCAGCCAATGGGCCGGCGGGGGTGGAGGGGCGGTGAGGAGGCAGCCCGGCTCAAGCCCCTCCCCGGCGGCCCGAGGAGCCCGGCGCGCCGGTATAAATCTCCTCGGCGGAGCCCCTCCGCAGCGCTGCGCGGCCGCGGGTCCGGGACCAGCTCAGCCCCCCCCCCCCCCCCGCTCCGCACCGTTTCGCTCCGCACCCCTCCCGCCGAGGATGCAGCTGGGGGAGCCGCTGCTGGCGGCGGCGGGGGCCCTGCCCGGAGCCCCCTTTTACCCGCTGGAAGGCGGCGGGCGAGGCGGTGGCGGGGCGGGCGGTGGCGGCGGGTCCCGAGGGGGCCCCCCCCCCCGACCGGGCTCCCCTCCTCGCCTCGACCTGGACAAGGCGCCCAAGAAGTTCGGGGCGGCCCCCGCCGTGCTGGGCGAGGCGGAGGCGGGCGAGCCGCCCTTCGCCCCCCCCAAACCGGACGGCCGCAAGGCCAACCCCTGCGGGGAGGAGGAGCTGCCCCCCCCCGCCGCCGCCGCTGCCGCCCGTTACTCCATGGATGGCCTCAGCCCCGAGCGCTACTACCTGCAGTCCCCCGGCCCCCCCGGGGCCGAGCTGGGTGGGCCTTGCGCCCTCTTCCCCTACCCGGCGCAGCACGGCACCGTCTACCAGCCCCCGGGGGGGCCCCGCTACCCCTACGGCTCCGTGCTGTCGCCGGGAGGCTTCCCCGGTACCGTCTGCCCTCCCGGCGGCCGGGCGCAGTTCGGAGGCGGCGGTGGGTACCAGTACGGGCAGGCGGGGGGCGGAGGGTCCCTCTACGGCCCTTACCCGCCGGCCTCGGGGTCCTGCGGTGGGCTGGGGGCGCTGGGGGTGCCGGCAGCCGGCGCGGGTCTGCGGGCTCAGGTCTTCCTCTGCAACCGGCCTCTCTGGCTCAAGTTCCACCGGCACCAGACGGAGATGATCATCACCAAGCAGGGCCGGTAAGCGGGGGGGGGGTGTGTGTGTGTGTGTGAAACGCGGCGGGAGGGCTCCCGCGGTCGCTCGGTGCTGGGCGATGCCGCCCGTTCCCCCCCTGGGAAGGAGGTGCGCGGCCTCCCCGTCGGCGGTGCCTCCGGCCCGGGGATTCTTCCCCCCCCCCCCGCTTAAAGCTGCTTTCCCGGTTTCCCCGCGGTGAGGCGGGGGTCGGTCGGGGCTCGCCGCTTGCCTCCTCGGTGCCGGGACAGACGGGGCACCCCGCGGCAGGCGCCCCTTTTTTTTTTTTTTTTTCCCCGGCCCGCCTCGACATGCGGTGCGCTTCTCTTCCCCCCCCCCCCCACCTCCAGGAGGATGTTTCCTTTCCTGAGCTTTAACATCACCGGCCTCAACCCCACGGCCCACTACAACGTCTTCGTGGAGGTGGTGCTGGCGGACCCCAACCACTGGCGTTTCCAGGGGGGCAAGTGGGTGACCTGCGGCAAAGCCGACAACAACATGCAAGGTAGGTGCGGTTCCTCGGGAGTGTCCCCGCCGCCTTCCCCCGCGGGTCGGCTTCCCAGAAAGGGTTCCCGCTTCACACACCCCACCCCCCGGCATCCCGCTGCGGGCACAGCTAAGGTTTTTAAGGGCGTCTTGCAACTTTTATTGAATTTTTTTTCCTCCCCCCCCCCCCCACGCCACGGTGCGGGAGGCTGGGGATGTCCGGGGGGGGGTGGGGTGGGATCCGAGGTGCCCCCCCCCGAGGAACAAAGCGCCTGTCCCCGGCGGCCGCTTTACAGCTCGGCTTCTCTTCCCCAGGCAACAAGGTGTATGTTCACCCCGAGTCGCCCAACACCGGGGCTCACTGGATGAGGCAGGAGATTTCTTTCGGGAAACTGAAGCTGACGAACAATAAAGGTGCTAATAACAACAACGCGCAGGTAAATGGGGTGCGGGGGGGGGGGGGGGGGGGGAAGGCAGGATTGAGGGGCTCTTGGTGGCTCAGGCAGGAGCACCCTGGGTTTTCGGGGCTTTACGGCGTTTAATCGAGCCTCACAATCGCTGTCCTTGTGACTTACTCTCTTCTTGAACTGCATCGTAGATCTTTTCTTTGCTTCTCCCTCGAAGACAATTAGAAAGGTCAGAAAGAGATGTGTGAATGTCTTTGTTTTTAGCCAGTGTATCTATCTCCGGCGCGGCTCAAAAAGTGGGAGTGTAGCTGATAGCTCTCGATTTCCTGCATTTACAGATTTTAGCATACTAGAAACCTAGTGAAACAGGGTTACAAGCTGTGAATCATCTCCTGTTAACCGTTAAAACTGCTCCATTCCCAAGTCAAAAGATTACTGTTTACAGGAATCAGGGTATAAAATAGATCTTTTAATGCTGGATGCAGTTGGTCTAATGATCTTGCCTCTTCCGTGGTCCCTTTTAGATGATAGTACTGCAATCTTTGCACAAATACCAGCCCCGGCTTCACATTGTGGAGGTGACTGAAGATGGTGTTGAAGATCTGAATGATTCCTCAAAGACTCAAACGTTTATTTTTCCTGAAACGCAGTTCATAGCAGTTACGGCGTATCAAAATACTGATGTAAGCTTGGATGTATAAAAATTACCATTAAGAATAAAACTGTCCTTGTGGGTTCAGCATCTCATCTCACTATATTCTGCTTTCACTTTTAGATTACCCAGCTCAAAATTGACCATAATCCTTTTGCGAAGGGCTTCAGGGACAACTATGACTCGTAAGTGCACGTCTGTCTTCTCTTGCAGCTGCCTCTGTCCAGGAGGCACCATTCTGGCCCAAAATGTCAATCACTCAGGAGTAGTAATACTTTTATTGTCAGCTTTGCTAGCTGATGTGCTCCTTTCAAAGACATTAAATGTCGGTCTATGAACATTAATTGTGTGTTTGTATAGTTACTGTATTGTCTTGATGACCTGGCTTTCAGCAGGCTTTTGAATTTTGGTAGGAAACTTGTACTGGCTGAATTTAGGTGGCCTGCAGATTGGCAGTAGTGTATTGGGTATCCACAGGGCCGGCAGCTTCTTCCAATTATCAGGAGGAGACTTGCCTAAGGCTCACTCTAGCACGGAATGGGCTTTGAAAAGCTGGAGCTGTATGTATATACACGTATGTGTGGCTTCTGGGAGGAAGGTGCTGCACCTCACTGAAAATGGGTTGATTGGCAGAGAAAATGGCAGAGAAAATGGTTGATTGTGTACTTGTAGCAGCGATAGTATAAATTTTATACCGCTCTAGGAAAAACATCCTGAACTCCTAAATTGGAAAAAATGAACATCTAGTTAAACCTAGTTGTGATTCTAAGTAAGAAAGAGCTCTGTTTCTTCCCAGTTGTGTTTTTGTTTTGCTTTACTGTCATGCTGGAATTGTAAAGAACAACACTCAGTATTTCTCTTTTACGTTGTAGCATGTACACAGCCTCAGAAAATGACAGATTAACTCCATCTCCCACGGATTCTCCTAGATCCCACCAGATCGTCCCTGGTGCCCGTTACAGCGTGCAACCATTCTTCCAAGAACAGTTTGTCAACAACCTGCCCCCAGCCAGGTTTTACAACGGTGAGAGAACCGTCCCGCAGACGAACGGCTTGCTCTCTCCGCAGCAGAGCGAGGAGGTGGCCAGCCCTCCCCAGCGGTGGTTTGTCACGCCTGTACAGCAGCCCGGTGCCAACAAATTGGACATGAACTCCTACGAGACGGAGTATTCTCCTAGCACCTTGCTCCCTTACGGCATTAAATCCCTCCCCCTTCAGACATCCCACGCTCTGGGGTACTACCCTGACCCCACGTTTCCGTCCGTGGCAGGCTGGGGGAGCAGGGGCTCTTACCAGAGAAAAATGACAACAGGATTACCTTGGGCCTCCAGAACAAGTCCTCCCGGTTTCTCTGAAGACCAGCTCTCCAAGGAGAAGGTGAAAGAAGAAATCGGTTCGTCCTGGATAGAGACTCCACCCTCCATAAAGTCTCTAGATTCAAATGATTCTGGGGTCTACATGGGTGCTTGCAAGAGAAGACGGCTCTCCCCTAGCACTTCCAGCAATGAAAACTCCCCGACGATGAAATGCGAGGACATTAACGCTGAGGACTATAGCAAAGACACTTCAAAAGGCATGGGCTACTATGCGTTCTATACTAGTTCTTAAAGCATCCTTTTATTCCAATTGGCTAATTTTTTTTTTTTCAGGGTGGCCTTGGTTTTTTTTGCATTACAATTGCCAAAAAGACTCTTGCCTTCCACCTTGAATTGTTGTGTGCAATTCTAAAGAAGGTGCCAAAGCTTTTTGACTGTCGCAGGTAATGAAACAGGGAAAGAGCAAACTATGGTAGAATTATTCCCCACTTTAATTTTTTTTTTTTTCTAGAAGGAACCACATGTGGAAGCTGTAAGCAGGAGCATAGATTTTTACAATGTGGCTTATTTATTGGAGACACTAAAGTGTACAGTTTTGTCTTGGCTCAGAGGCCTGATCAAATCTATGCACTCCTGAGCAAGGAAATAGGGGGGTTGGATCCCAAATTTAATCTTCCCTGCCTGCCCCTTTGATAAAAGGGGGCTGGGTTGTGGGGAACTGCACAAATGCTATGTTCTGTTTTAGACTGAGCTGATTTTTTAAACCCTTGTACCCTTGTCTGCAGCACAGTTGGCCGAGTCAGATATCACTCAGCTAAGGCTTTCTTTGGCAGAAGGTGGCCAAAATCAGGCCTGCTTGCCAGGCAGGATTTTGACTTGAAGGTCTTGTTGCTAACAATGGGGTTGCAATGACCAAATCTGACTTTTCATAGTTTAGAACTTGCATTAAAAAAAACAACCCAACCCTCTCCTCCATCCCAAAAGCCTAACCTTCGTTGAGGTGGCCAAAAACAAAGTGTACAGTTGTGTTTTGTCTAGGTACACTGTAGAATATTGTGGAATAATATATAAATAGTTGACCTATAGCTGTTCAGTCAGGACCTCCAGTGGTGCTTTGAAATTCAAAATGCATTTCTTCGGTTAATCAAACGTAGCATTGCAAAAAAACATGAACAGATTTCTTATTTACATGTATGCGAAGTGACTTTCAGCTGCCCTGTACAAAACTGGAAGTGATGTAACTTGCCCACTCTTCTTGCCTACTAGTTTCAGCCATTTTAAACGGATCAACCCTAGAGCACTGCCACACAACCTCCTTCCAACAAAACTTGGTTCTGTTTTCTTTTTCTATGTACATAGTAGTAATTTTTAATAAATGTGGTGGTGCCAGGGATAAGAGTGGGGATGGATCTCTGCCTCTTCTTTTCTTCTACTGGATGTCCCAGCTGAGGGGGGAAGGAGGCAGCAAAATTCTTGGGGGGCTTTGTCATCTTTAAATCTAGCTATCCCTTGCAATATTTCTTCTTGCTGCTTTAGCCCTTGCACTGTGCTCAGTTGGACCCTGCTAGCCGCTCTGTGCGTGGTTGTTTTTTGGTTTTGTTGTGGTTTTGTTGTTTGGTTGGTTGGGTTTTTTTTGGTGGGTTTTTTTTTTTTTTTTTGGTGTGTGTGTGTTCTTTTTTTTTTTCCAAATGTGGATTGCCACGGTTCTGTGCATCCCCAAAACCTCTGCTTGGACGCTCAATGTGCCGGTGCCTCTGTTCCCCGGCACCCTCTGGCCCGGGGGGGGGGGGGGGGGGGGGGATGAGCTCAGCCCTCGTCCTGGGGGGGTGACTGGCGAGCTCGGCTGCCCCTGCTCTCCCCCCTCCCTTTCCCAGAACAGGGTAAGAAATTCCCCTGCCCCCTTATCTGGGGAGTGAGCCCCTCCTGGCAGAGCAATTGAATCCGGACCTTTCCTTGAGGATATGCAGGCGGTAATGGGATTAAACTGTTAGCGATGCCCGGCTGCAAACAAAATAAAGCCGGGGCTGGAGCGGGGGCCCTCCCCGGAGGAGGTAACGCGATCGGGGGGGCCCTGGCAGCAGCTTCCCCCCCCTCGGGAGCGGAGGGCGGCCGATTTCCGAGGAGATTTCGATCAGCTCTTTGGGGGTTCGGGTTCCGCGCCTCTCCGCGGGCAGAGAGACCCCGGCCCACCCGGGACAGGAGGGCACCCGCGGTAGTTTTAAGCGACTGGGAACGGATTTTTAAATTATTTTTATTCTATTTTTATTTTTTTCCTTTTTTTCCCCTATTTTTTTTTTTCTTTTAAGCGGGGGATGCTCCCTCAGGGGAAAGCCCCCCCCCGGGGAAGGCGGGCTGCCCCCGTCCCCCGCCGGGGCCGTATGCCGACCCGCTTTCCCCGGGCTGCAAACACCGGTTATATCAGCGCTCAGCAGCACGGTTCCGCTGCAGTGTGTTATTAAAAACTGTATTTTTGCACCGCACGGTAAAAAAAAAAAAAAAAAAAAAAAAAAAGCAAAAAAGCTTAATACTTGTGAAAAGTCCTCACACTGTTTAATAGAAACATAAGTGCCTGGCTGGCCCCAATTAACACCTTGTGATTATAATGCATTCCTAAAATGGGGTGTCAGACGCCAAATTGTGAATAAAGGTATCTAATTAATCTTCATAGGATGACACCGATAAACAACTCTATATTTAAATAAAGATCAAGGAACTGAATGCTTCTTATTTGTTTACATTAACGAAAGATAAAGTTAACTACCCTTGCACTTTGCTTCGTAATGTGATTTACCGAGACAAACAGCAGGCTCCGGGGTGGAGAACCCCGCCTCGCCTCGGCAGGCTTTTTGTCGCGGGTTTGGAGGGAGGGGGCGACCCCGAGGATGACTGCCCCTTCTTCCACAGCCCCCACACCCACGCGCGTGTGGCGGGGGGAAGGCGGCACCTTCTCCACGCAGCTGGCAGGGGACGGCGGGCAAGCAGGCTCCGAGGGGTGGGGGGGGGGAGGAAAAAAGACCAGAAAAGAAAATTTTTAAATAGTTATTTACGGCGTTGCGGTGGTGTGCAGTGAGAGGCGGCCCGGTGGAGCTGCAGAACCCAGCTGGGGGTGAAGGGAACCCCCAACCCTTAACGCTGCTGCTCCGCTCCGGGGGGGCCCCCCCCCGCCCCGGATCGGGGATACACCGGTGGAGCCATCTGAGGCCGTTCCCCGCCAATTAGCGATTTTCTGGGGTATTTCCCCCCTGAGCCGAGGGAGCAGGTCGGTGCTCTGCGTGCATAAGCTCTTATTTGTTTTTAATCGCACAGACGGGCTCGTCCGAGGGACTGAGACCATTTTTTTCACCAAAGACTCTGGTTTGGGTTTTTTTTTGTTTGGTGTTTTTTGTTTGTTTCGTTTTGTTTTTTTTTCTTTTTTTGGTGTTTTTTTTTTGTGTTTTTGTTTTTTGTTTTTTTCGTTAAAGTAGACCCAACAGCTCATCCCTTCTCCCACTTGCGCTCTTTGCAGCGGCACGTCGGGAGCAACCGTCTGATTTTTTTTTTTTATTTTTTTTTTTTTATTTTTTTTTTTTTTTCCCAGCGAAACTCAGTCCCTCGCTGCTCGCCCCAAACCGTGTCGCCGGTGCTTCACACCCGGGCGGGAAAACGAAACGACCCCAAAACCTTTCTTCCCCCGACCGCCTCGGGGGAAGGGGCTCCCGCCCGGGGCCGCGGTCCCGGCGCTCGGGGGAGGACGGAGCAGGCAGCTTTCCCCGTGTTTTCTCTTCGAATAATGCGATGAGGTTTTACTTTCGGTCTGAATTTCTGCTCCCACCTTCTTCAACGCCGCCTTTTCACCAGGGGCTCGCTTGTTTCCACCGCCCCCTCCCCTCTCGGAGGGGTGCGCGGCGGTACCGGGGGGGGGGGGGGTTCCCGGGAACAGTTATTTTTACAGCCCCCCTCTTTGCCGCCCTCCCCTCCGGGCCACCTCAGTGCGGCCCTGAGGGGCACTTCCCTCACGAAATTGGGTTTTGCCGCCATCGGGGGTGATGGTGTTATTATTGCTATTGTTGTTATTACTAATAATAATTTTCTCACATTTTTTCTGTACGTACAAGCCCGTTCCCCAGCCCCCTGAGGTATCCGTAGCCCACTCCTCCCCTTCCGAAATCTTTATAGCCCTGCTCAGAACAGTATGAGTATGGCCAATATAAATATTAATCTAATCCCTATTGGAAGGATTTTAGTGCTTGCTGGATATCACAAATATGTAATCTGGGGGAGAATGACATTAGGCTGAAGGTGCGGAGTGCAAAATATGATTTGAATAAAATGATAGGGTGGTATCTAATATTTCCTTTAGGGAGTACTATACTCCGAGCTGTCACAACCGATTGTGTAAATAGACGAGACTGAGGGATGTGATCCTAATCATATTGATGAAACATTCATCTGAAAGACCGAGCGCAACCAGAAGGGACTCACTAGGAATACAATTAAATCTTAATCTGAGGAGGAGGAATCCTCTGCAGGCTTTCCTCTAACCTGCCACCTTCTTCCCCGTTTTCGTTTCGGAGTCAAATAAAATGCAGGAGAGGAAGAGAAAATAAAGGAGAGGTGGAGTGCTGCGTGGTTTGCCTGCCTGAAGCACTACATTAACACAGGGAGTGCTGCGTGGGAAGGAGGTAAAGCTGCAGCTCTGACTCGGCAGATAACAAAAAAAATAAAGGTCTAACTTTACTCACTACCTGCCTGCAGTGGGTTTCCACCTTGAATGGTGTTAATCAGGTGCAGGAGGCCCCTGTGACTGGAGGAAGAGTCTCCCACCTGGGCTTTGACCATCAGCTCAGGCCCAGGCTTGTGAGTAAAATTTAGTCTTCTGTCTGTTGTATGCCATTAAGTTTCCATCTGCAGCAGGGAACTGATTTCTTGCTGATAATATTTATTAGCAAAGGGGTTATTTTCCAACTCCCCACCAGCTGGTTCCTCTCTGGCCCTCTCAGACTGCCTCTCCGTAGTGTAGCGCGTTGGGTGAAATGCTATCAGGCAGTTTGTCTTCCCTGCATGTGGTGATAATCCCCTCTCATCATTAAAGAAATAGGTTAGCTACTGCCATAAAGGGACCAACCTATTTTGACCCTTGTCCCTCAAAAGATGGCCTGAGAAGATGCGAGGGCCCGGTTATGATTCCTGTAACAATATTAAAACGGGGCTGGCTGCTTTTCATCCCTTCCTACTTTGGGGGAAGGTGCCTTTTCCCAGTGCGTGCCACCTTTTGGCTTATCCCGTTAAAATGAATTCAAGCTATGAACACCTGAATTCACATCATGAAGTTTAAAGCTTGAAAAGCAGCCTGTCTTCTTCCTCCTGCCACCATTTAAAGTCAGGCTTCCCTTGAGTCTCTAAGACCCCAATCTGATCTGATATTTTTAGAGCTTTTTAAAAGTACCCAATCTTTTATCAGCAAGCTCAGGCAAAGAGCTAGGTGAGTTCTTTCTTCCTGGAGTGTTCTCCGTGGAAAGAAAGGCCCCAAAGACAGCGTTTGGTT